ATCTTCATCCAGTCTATACACGACTGTTCTGTCATCGCTGGGGCAGGAAACAGTCAGCTCAATCCTGCACTTGCGCTTTTGCTCTCTCATTGCCCAGAGCAACAAAGGTGCTGAGTTGGGGCAGGGGCCGGGGGGAGGGCACTAGGGGAAAGGGGCACTTCCAGAATCTGGTACATGGCTCTGAGTTCTACTGGACTCATATCATGGTCTACCTCCCAAGTGGGGAGCGGGAGAATGTATGTATAAAGTAAGCAAAAGCTGGTTGGTGTGAAAAAAAAAAAAAAAGGCATGGCACTGTGGCCAAAGGGAACATGACCCACAGCTCTGCTCCTACCCATGAGTTACACCGAAATACTTGTCTGGGTTTCAGTGGGCCCCATCTGTCAGATTAGCATAGTGGTAGTTACCTCTCCCACAGGACTGATTAGATCAAATAAAAGAATGTGTCCAAGAGAATATTCACATGGGATTTTGAATACTGCTTTGGGTTACCTACCAGACCACCTTATAGACAGGCTCAGGCCTAGCCCATGTCCCTCTGCCACTTCATTCATCGGATGTGTGTTGAGCGCCTACTATGTGTCAGGCAATGGCACATTTTGTTTCCAAGGTGAGCAAATATTTGCTAATTCAACAAATATTTATTGAGCAAGTATGTGCCTGTCCTTGGGCAGGTACTGAGAATCTAAAAAGGAATTTGAGCCATGGCCTGCCCTCATGTCCCTGGGTGGCACAAACGTTAACGCTTCACTAGTTGAAAGGTTGGTACCTTGGATCCACCGAAAGGCACCTTGGAAGACAGGCTCAGTGATTTGTTTTCCAAAAAGTCACAGCCGGGATCCATCAAGGCAAGTGGTCAGGACCCCTCAGAGCAAACCCCCTTCCAAGATTAAAACTCGAGGGGCATATATGAGCAGGCATATGGTCTGGATGGTGACCATGTTGGTCACCAACAAGGAAAAATGGGGGGAAAACAGCAATGAAGTTGTGAGCCACATCCAACCATGTTCAATAGACTGTACCTGGGTTGACACTTGGTTGGCACTTAGTTGGCCAGCAGTATGCCAAGACCTGGGGACTCCTGGGCCCAGAGACAGTGACATGGCCACAGAGGACTAGAGCAGAGAGTGAAGCATCCAGCTGATATGAAGTGAGAGAAGATGCACAAGAACACCCATACTTGCAGATAGTACCCACTTGACCTGGCTATCATATAAGTCACAATAAAAACTTTAAAAACTTAATAATTGATTAAAAAAATAAAGAGTCTCAGCCTTGAAACTCCATGGAGAGCAGTTCCCCTTGGAGAGCAGTTCCACGTGGAGTGCAGTTCCTCGTGGAGTGCAGTGCCACGTGGAGAGCAGTTCCCCTTGGAGAGCAGATCCCTGTGGAGAGCAGTTCCCCGTCGAGTGCAGTGCCACATGGAGAGCAGTTCCCCTTGGAGTACAGTTCCACATGGAGAGCAGTTTCCCTTGGAGTGCAGTTCCACGTGGTGAGCAGTGCCACGTGGAGTGCAGTTCCACATGGAGAACAGTGCCACGTGGAGTGCAGTTCCACGTGGAGAGCAGTGCCACGTGGAGTGCAGTTCC